TCTTGGGGTGCCTGCATGGCTCAGTTGGTTAGGTGTCCGACTCTTGGTTTCTGCTCAGGTCATGATCTCAGGGTCATGAAATGAAGAGATCAAGCCCCGCGTTGGGCTCCCCACTGGGCATGGAGCCTGCTTAAAATTCTCTCTCTCCCTCCCCCTCTGCCCCTCCCCCCTACTTGCATGTGTGTGCTCTATCTCTTTCAAGAAAATATGTATTTTAAAGACACTATCACTATTCTGATAAGAGTGAAGAGAACAAATCTGGTCAACTAATGGATCAGTTGGCTGTCTTCCACCAAGAGATTAGGCCCAAGCCTAATTCAGCTGCTACCTTACAGTCAGTTCTAGTGAATGAGAAACTTTATCAATTTAGGATCCCCAAAATCAGAGAGAAAAACAAACCAAACAGCTTTGGAATCATGGGACATAAGGGGAAAAATGTAAGTTTATATGAGACAATTTTAGTATTACAGTCTAAGATAAATTATCTTCTTTCATTAGTGTTTGAAAAGCAAACATCTACTCAATAGACATTTCCTGAAGCATCTTTAGTTTTCTTGGTTTTCTTAGCCTAAGCTGCATAAACCCAGTCCTCTGCTCTATTTGTTGGAAACGATGCCTACCCATTGATGGTCAATCTACACACCATTACTTTTGAAGGGCTTTGGAGAAAACAGAGTTCACCAAAAATCACAGAGGTTTTCTTTACTTTGTTTTCTTGCATTAAAATTGGATATTTTGTAATATAATATACAGTATATACCAAACACATCTATTTTATGTTACCCTGCTGGGAGGGGAAAGTGCATTGTTAGGTTAACATTGATACATCTACATTGCCTATGAATACCAGGAAGGAAACTGTTCTTCCATAGACAACAGATAGACTCCTAATCTGATGGGAAATGAATAATGAACATGGCCTTTTTATCACAGTTTTTCAATCTCAACTTGTCCTACTCATGAAATATATAGGATATATCCTTGTAGCTTTGGCATACACTCACTTTGTTGAAGGATTAGTTGTACATTTTCAGGTTACATACTATAGGCCTGAGTACTTTAGTCTGTCTCACATTGTGTTTGGTTAAGCTTTATCTATAATATGCTTATTCCTCGGTTATTTCACTTGACAAAGTTTTCAGTAAGAAGAACCTTAGTGGTGTAAATTTAGCTATTGGTCTGAAACTTTGGAACATTCAGGTATTTCTTGGATGATGTGCTTTGTACATAGTTGCTGAATAAATGATTGCGTGAATGAATTTTAGATCAATACAGTAATTGGGTTTAATCCATTTACTGTAGGACTCAGTAGAGAAGGTTTTGAGATGAATGTCAAATCAATTTATATTCAGAAAAAGCATAAAGATTATTGCTGTTATGACAGTGGAGAAACCTTGACATTGGTTTGAACTGGTAACCTGATACTCAGAATGTGCAGAAGCATGTTAAAGCTGGGCCATGAATTCATATTCTCTTTTCATGACAGATTGAAATATTGTTTTAGTTTTGATCATGCTTCCTCCATAGAATGCACATTTTTATATAACTGTGTCCCTCTCCAACTTCACGTTATGACCAGGACACTCTCTGTAATATCAGAATCTTTTCACCTTCACATGGGGCATATTTCAAAGACAAGCCTTTGATGATCAAAGAGAATACCCAACTATGGTGGATTTGGAAGTTACATCTTGGGACTGACATCTCAGGCTTTAATGCTGCATTAATTGTTGGTGTTTACAAACAATAGAATTTCTTAATGAATTCTTAGATCATGAGGATATATTAGACTGTAGGCTTTCTTATTCACTATCATATGTTACATCATACATTAAGAAAATGAAAGCAGAGAAAGATTATGACAAATCATGTTCTCCCCATCATCTAATAAAATGTGTTTTCCGGTATCTCATATCCCCAGCAAGTATACAAACATAGACAGATGCCTACCCCCTTCTTCCTTTCTTTGGTTTCCAAAAAGTCAACAGGCAAATTGGAAAGGAAAGCCACTATTTGTTAACAAAGCCTTCCACATGATCTCAGGTGAGTACATATGTTTTAAACTATTGACTTTTTGGAGGAGAGTCTCCTGTTTTTGCCATCTAAAGTATTCTAGTATCAGTAGTGTTGGGAGAATAAGACTAGTTATAGAAGTGAATTTGGGGACACCTGGGTGGCTCAGTCAGTTAAGCATCTGCCCTTGGCTCAGGTCATGATCCCAGGGTCCTGGGATCGAGCCCCACGTTGGGCTCCCTGCTCAGTGGGGAGCCTGCTTCTCAACCTCCCCCTCTGCCCAGCGGGCCCCATCCCTGCTCATGCTCTCTCTTGTGTGCTGTCTCTCACATGTGCTCGCTCTCTCTCTCAAATAAATAAAACCTTTAAAAAAGTGAATTTGGTTCAGTCTGGGTCTCCTACAACTCTCAAATCATCACATGGGCATCCACTTCCTCCACCTACATCTCCAAATAGGAAATACAGTCACTCTCAAATCACCCAAATTACTTTATCACCTCTGACAGCAATAATATGTAACATTTGCTTTCTCATAAATTTGATATCAATTATGTGCCCTTACCTTATGAGGGCCATGCCAGATTTTTACCCATTAGTATTTAATACTATAATTATAGAATTTTTATATTCACTGATTCTCAGTCTTTGTCTCAAAGAAGACATGCATTTGAGCATGAAAAGTTTTCATCATTAGATTGCAAGCTATTAAGAGTGTGAAAAAAGATGAATATATATATTCATGTCATATACATTTATAAACATGTTATCTTCTAAATTTCACTTTCTGCCTGATCCATACAAATCTAGAGTATATTTTGCACCTAAAATAGTTTTAATATAAATGCAGAAAATTGTAATTTGATCACAAAATCCAGATTAGTCATTGTTGCCATTGTTGCCATTGTTTCTAATGGCATTTTTTCACCATAAATAAGGTGGTACGTTGACATTTCAAAAGTACGTGGTAACCTTTTCAGAATTGCTTCCTCTTATCTCATTAACATAGGGCTCAGTTCGGTACCAAAAATATATAAAGAGAGAGAAGGGAAAGAGGGAGGAAATGTAGAATCATTCTCTCTTGTGCATGTCAAGAGCTAGATTTGGGCCCTGAGCCAGTGTTTATCCTGTCTTCCAAAAGCTCCAATATCCTTTCCTCAGTTCATTTTCACCTGAAAGTTTATTTTCTCATACAAATGCTACCAATAAGTGAATCCTGATACCACATCATTTAATGCTATGAGTCTGGGTTTTCTTAATGTAGTACTTGTCTTAAATCTAGCGGGCTGTGAGTGATGGTATGGGAAGCCAGTGGCATTCCTGAGCGCAATGCCAGTTGACCTTAGTGTGTAGGACCACCAAGGCACAAGCCCTTTTTTGAGCTGAGACAATCCTCTGAGAATGGTACCGTCATTCTTATATTTGGTGGCTTTTAACACTGAATGTTTAAATACTAGCAAAACATTGGTAACCATTATATTATAATCTCATTTTAAATGTTGTCTAAGAAGTCCCAAATCAATCTGTATGCAAACTAGTGACATCTAAGTAATAAGCCCTTTATCTAGGAATGTTATCTTCACATTTTTGCTGAATTGTGATCTAGATCACAAACTAAATAATGACTTTTTTAAATGGTATCTTTAAAAGAATACCCAAATAATCCTTCACTCAGATATATCTCTGAATAGAAAAAATGCCTTTCTTTCTCACCTCTCAGTGATATTATTGCATTTATAAGGCACTTTAAGCTTATGGCTAGTTGGCTCAATGCAGTCATATGCGATGTTAACAAGGCCAAGGTCCATCCTCCCCATGGGACAGGCAGGATGTGTTCTTTGGGCATCATCATTTCAGGGAGGATATGGTTAGTAGCTTGGGAGCCCCAACATCTACCTCTGAACAAAGCAGTCCTGATACTTAGACATTAACTTTGCATTATAATCCCCCATCATACTACTGGTTTGCTGTTTAACTTTTCATCACTAAAGCAGAAATAATAGGGTAGAATGAAATAGACTTACCTCCCAGGGATGTTGAGTGAATTAGCAAATTAACAGGTGTGAAGTGGTAGCATTTATGTAAGTGCTGGTGGTTGTCATTATTTTGAGGGACCTAGTCTCATTTTAAATAGAGAATCTAAGTATATTATGCTTTTGTCAGAAAGGGATTTTCACCCACATCAATTGCATTTAAGCTGAGCATAAAACAGAGGTGATAATAACAAAGTAGTGATCATCACAATGCAGAGCTGTAAACCTTTTCTCTATTAAAGCTAAAACTCTTTTGAGCAACCATCAATGCTTTTAAATTTTGCTTTCCAAGCTTTGTGCCAACAGTTATCTCTACAGTGATTATTCTTCCTCTGATGGTTGAGGGGAATAGGACCTATTCATTATTCATTCCCATAATGACTTATATAATGTGTTGAATATGTTTACATCATACAATCAGGCAAAGATTCAGTAACTTGTTTGATTGGCACATATTGTCATCATTGTTAAAAAAAACAAAAATTCTTTTCTGCTCTGCCTACCCTGGTGTCCTCTAGAGGTAGCCCATATACAGATTGTGAAAACTCATGGGGAAAAAAAGAAAAAGAAAAAGAAAACTCATGGGGAATTGAAAATTGAAGTGCTTTCCAACAAAAGGCTCTGTACATAGATCCTTTCAATTTGACATCTTTACCAAGGAATTTTGTTGTCACCTGCAATTTCCAAGGGGACTGTGCTTGAGAGAATTCTTCCATTTCTTTCATCACTCTGATTTCACTTACCAAGAAAAGTTATTTATTGCTGATTGCAGGACTCTTGAACTCAGCCTGGGAGCTGCAGCATGAACTCCTCAGATCTGGGCTCCTTGGTACTTATTTATATATTCATTTGAAGTGATTTTCAGGACTATTCAAAAACCTCTCTTGACCTGACATTGTGTAATAGCCAAGATCTAAAGCTCACGTGTTTTTGGTTCTTTTTCTCTTTGTCTTACAGATAACAGACGAGTACCTTTGGAAAGGTCACGCTCTCGCCACAATGGAGCTGTCTCATCTAAGTGAATCCTGATGCCAAAGAATATGAAAATATTTAAGTAAAAAAAATCATATATTTTGAGAAGAACAAAATATCCACTCAAGGGATAAAGAGGAAATAAATGCATTTCTGCAAGGATCAAGCTAAGCTGGGTGAAATAGCATGTATTTTTACAGCTATTGCAAGATGCTTTCACACTTATACTAATACAAACACAATTACAAGGATTATAAAACATGTGTTCCATTTTAGTGTAAAGATGTGTATTGTTATTGTGTGTGACCTGATGGTAATGATGAAAGGTATAAGAAATTCAAAAACATTCAGTCTGTCAAAAACTTACAATGTTAATCAAATTGCAGGTCACCCCCCCCAAAAAAAAGGAAAAGAAAGGAAATAGAAAGAATTATTCAATGTCTGCTTCTGATTCCTGTTACATAGAAAAAGGAAAGGCCAATGAAAATGTGTGTATTAATGATTTGGAGAGGTACTCTGCAAGAGAAGCCATTTTGGAAGCTAAAAAAAAAAGTACTGCTTCAGCCCCATGAATTTATTTAGAATCTTATCTCAAGTGAAAGCTGATGGATTCATCTGCTTTGGCTGAAATTAAACTTATCATTAATCTAGAGTTTCAGCATGATGTTGCAGGCACTTATCATTGCTAAAAATAAACTAGAGTTTAACAGAAGCAGTTAGAGAAAGTGATTTAAACTTTATTTAAAGAGGTATTTTCTAATTATGCACATATATCTACTTTATACAAATACTTCATATGACTATTTTTTGAGAAAAACCTCACATTTTAATGTTTATTCTGGGATGAACCTGAAAATTCTATTACCTTTATTAAGATTTTTTAAAGGTAAATATTGATTCCTATTCTCTGTGGTTTATTTCTTCTATTGCTTCTTTCTCCCATGACCCCCATGAAAGCAGGGAATAGAGTTTCTAAAAGACCTGAGAGGAAAAAGATTTCTCTCTGCAGGCAGCAGAAAACTGTCTGAAAGGTCAACTGTTTTATCTGCCTTTCTAATTCTGCCTTGGTGGTCTGAAGAAGAAAAAAAATTATATGTATGTATGTGTATATATGTGTATATGTTTATATCTCCTACAATAATTCCACATCCCAGTGACTAAGTGAACTTCTCAGTCATCATCATACTTACTTACCTTATATTAACAAATTAAAATGATGCTGCCAAAACAACCCTAGGAGAAAAAACATGCTCTACATTTTTCTTAAATAGATGAAAGCATAAAAGTTATATTTAACTTGTCTATTACTTTAAAATATGCATTGAAATAATGTGGTATAACTTCTCTGGAGTGTAATTTTAAAACTAATCCGTGCAGATGATTGTCATTACTGTAAAAAATTTCTTATATGTATATTTCTTATATAGAAGATCCTATTTCTACTTCTCCAAAGCACACTATAGACGTTCAGAAAGAACAGACAACTGGCTTGGCAGGTCACCATTTGAAATAATGTAAACAAGTGACCAATAATTCAGTCTCCTTTATATAGATGTATAATGATTCAAACTGCTACCTTTTCCTCCAGTGCATTCTTACTTGGGTATGATATTTAAAAAAAATCTCTGAAGCTGCTACAATAGAGAAATCAAAAAGACTAACAGTATCTGAGATTTTATGGTTTTATCCTATCTTAAGACACACACATATGCATACACAAACAAGTTTGAGGGACATATCAATTTCATACACTTTTTCTTAACAACAACACAGATATACAAATTTATGTAAATAATTAATGTGTGTATTTTTGACTTCACAAAATCTTTTCTGAAATCTTCATGGCATGGCCTGAGTCTTTTGGTAGCCTTTCAGGCTGTAGGAAAATGATATTTTGAAATATTAACCCTAACTAAAATTTAGGGGCATTTGCCATGCCATATTATCAAGATGGTCAGAAAAAAAAAAAAAAATGATGGTCAGGATAGAAATACTGATGATACTATTCACCTCTTTGAAACGTGAACTTGCCTTATTTTTAACTTTGTGAAAAAGAATGAATGAAATACTATTATTGATAAATTATATATTTGTATTTAGAGAAATCCCACATGGTTTTCACAAACAGTATGGAAACTTTCAGGGTCTTCCATGAAGTTCCAGTAATTGAGTTAAAGGATTTACTTCCCAGATTTATAATGTTCCTGCTTTAGCCATTTGCAGTTTTGTTTGAGATTGAAAATTATCACCAGAAAAAGTACATAGTAACATTTTTAGTATAGAACCAAATTACACTAAAGTCTTTTGTTAGGTTTATTACTGCCACAGTGAGAAGCACCATTTTATGCAAATTTTCTTCAAAACGATTTTTAAAAATACAAAATCCTTAGAATGTTTAGAAGTTGCATTAGTTTCCTTTGGCTGCTGTAACAAAGTACCACAATCTTGGCTTAACACATCAGAAATATATTCTTTCATGGTCCCTGTGTCAAAATGTCCAAAATGAAGGGCTCTGCTCCCTCCAAAGTCTCTAGAGGAAAGTCTTCCCTTGTCTCTTCCAGCATGTACTGGCTATTGGCCTTCCTTGGGTTATGGCTACATCTGTCTCTGCTCCATCTTCACATCACTCTCTCCTCTGTGTATCTAATCTTCCTATGCCTCTCTTATAAGATCCTTTTTCCTAATAAGGTTGCATTCACAGGTTCTGGGAGTTAGGATGTGGACATACCTTTTTGGAGGCACCCCCCCCAGCCCACTACAGTCTGCCCTCTGCCCCCCAAAATTTATATATGTCCCATGTGCAAAATATATTTACCCCATCTCAACATTCCCAAAAGTCTCAACCCATTACAGCATCAACTCTAAATCTAAAATCTCATCCAAACATCATCAGTTCAGTAGTCCCAAATCCCATCATCTAGATCATCTAAATCAGGTATAGATGAAAATCCTGGGGCAAAATTCCTCTCCAAATGTGAATAAATGAAGCAAAACAAGTTATCTGCTTCCAAAACACAATGGTGGAACAGGCACAGGGCAAGAGTTATAGACATTGCTATTTCAAACCAGGGAAAATGGAAAGTAGAAAGAAGTCACCTGGCCTGATGACTCAAAATTCAGCCAGGCAAAATCCCCCTAGGTTTCTTGGCCTGACAATCCGCCTTGTTTCAGGACCCCACCCTTTAGGCCTGCAGTTCTGGCCTCTTGGCCCATGGATCAAGTCTCTGCCTCTGTACCTGCAGTTCTACTCTAAGAATGACCCTTTATATTGAAGGGTAGCACATGTTTGCAGCTTTATCATCCTGTTTCTTGCCTGTAAAACTTTGGTAGTCTGACAGCTTTCTCTCATTTTGTCCTGTCTCGATCCTTTTCAGGCCAAGCTAGAACTGTTTCTCAAAAACTTTGTGAGCCTCCCGTGCATGTCAAATTGATTCAGTAGTGAGATAAGAGTCCTCACAGATCTTTGCTGGATAATGCCATCTCTATTCTTGGCTTCTGTTGAGATGATCCGTGAGTCAATGCCTAATCTCTTCAACACTAGCCAGAGGTTGGCTTTATCTCCAGAGCACACTATCCTAATAGTGCATCAGCTAATTTTAGCGTCTTTTGGAATCTGAACAGGCTCAAAATTTCCTGAATTACCAAGTGCTGGTTCCTTTCTGCATAACAATTATTTCCTCAATTTACCTCTTTCTTCTTGTATTTTACTGTAAGCTCAAGAAGAAAATGGGCCCTACCTCCAACACTTTGCTTGGAAATCTCAGCTATTAAATATCCAAGTTCATCAATTACAAATTCTACTTTCCATATAACTGTTGGAAACAATTCAGATAAGCTCTTTGCCACTATATAACAAGGATCACCTTCCTTCTAGTTTCCAATAAAATGTTCCTCAGTTCCTTCTGAGCTCACCAGAAGCACCTTTAACATTCATATTTCTAATAGCAGTGTATGTTTTTTCTATCAAATGCCTCACAGTTCTTCCAGCTGGTACCCATTATCCACTCCAAAGCCACTTCCACATTTTTAGTTATTCATTATAGGAGTACCTTACTTCCTGTTTCCAATATCTGTATTAGGTTCCTGTGGCTGCTGTAACAATACACAAAACATGGTAGCTTAACACAACAGAAATTTAAATTGAGTCCTAAATTGAGGTCTTGGCAGGTCTGTACTCCCTCTGGAAGCTCTAGAAGAAAATCTGGTCCTAGTCTCTTCAGTTTCTTGTGACTGTCATTCCTTCCTTGGCTTGTGGCCAAATCTCTCTCTCTTCTGTTTTCACATTACTTTTCCTTCTGTGTATCTAATCTACCTCTGCCTCTCTCTTATAAGAACACTTGTGGCATTTAGGACCCACCTGGTTTATCCATAAAAATCTCCTCATCTCAGTATTCTTAACTGAATTACATCTGTGAAGACCCTTTTTCCAAATAATGTAACATCACAGGTTCCAGGAATTAGAACATGGGCGTATTTGGGGGAAGCCATTATTTAGCTCACTACACTAGTCATTGCACATAAATGTACTTTTCCCTTTTTAAAATGTGTTCTTGGTGCTTAAGCCAAACTCAAGGTTTCCTCTAAAAAGCTATTGTTTGTACAGGCTATGCATGCTTTGATGTTAAATAGCTGAACAGGCTATTCCAAAATTTGGTTGATATTTTGCTACTATGGCCAGTGCTTAGCTTGAAAAAATAATTGGTTCCAACTCTGAGCTCTGGTGTTTACCTTCTGCCCCTTTTATGGAGTCTTTGACCAAATGTCTTCTATGATTTATAATGCAGGCATAAAACTACCTCTGATACAGAAGGGTTCTTTACAAGATAACTTTAGATATTGTCAATCCCTCAGGTGAAGGGAGAGGTGACAGCAAAGCCTGCTTTGAATGGGTATTGAGGGAGACTGTGCCCATACAAGACACCCAGAAGAAGTATTTCAGTAGCAATAGAACTGTGGATTCATGCTCTCGTTTTGCTTCAGATTAACCACCTGTCTCTTCACAGGACCAAGAATGACTTGCAATCTATATGTAATGCATCCTCACTTATTAAATAAAGTTAAGATAATACATTAAATGTTGTCTGCCTATGATAATATTAAGGATGAGTG